GCTTGTGGTGATGCTGGAAGAAGTTAAAGCAACTCTGAGAGAATTGGCAAAAAGCAAGACCCTAGGAATTAATGGCATACCAAGTGACATATTTCAACAAACAGATGCTGCCCTGGATGTGCTCACCAAGTTGTGCCAAGAAATCTGGAGGACAACCACCTGGCCTACTGACTCTAAAATATCTGGATTTGTTCCCATTCCAAAGACAGGTGATCTTACAGAGTGTGAAAATTATCAAACAGTACCATTGATATGACATGCAAGCAAGATTCTGCTGAAGATTATCCAAAAATGATTGGAACAGCACATCAACAGAGAACTGTCTGAAGTGCAGGCTGGATTTTGAAAAGGCCAAGCACAAAGGATATTACAGCGAATGTCAGATGGATCTTGGCTGAAAGCAGAGAGTACCAGAGGAATGTCTATCTGTGTTTCATTGACTATGCAAAGGCGTTTGACTGTGTGGATCACAACAAACTGTGGCTGACTCTGAGAAGAATGGAAATCCCAGAACACTTGATGGTGCTTATGCAAAACCTATTCTTGGACCAGGAGGCAGTTGTCAGAACAGAGCAAAGAAACACTGCGTAGTTCAAAATTGGGAAGGGTGTGCATCAAGGATGTGTTCTATCTCCATATCTTTTCAATCTATATGTAGAACAGATTATCTGGGAGGCTGGGTTCTATGAGGAAGAATGTGGCATCAGGATTGGAGGTAGATTTATCAATAATCTGTGTTAAGCAGATGACACAACCCTGCTTGTTGAAACTGAGGAGAACCTGAAGCACTTGCTGCAGAAGATCAAGGACTGCAGCCTTCAATATGGATTGAAGCTCCATTAAGAAAACAAAGATTCTCACCACTGGGCCGATTGGCAGCATCATGATAAATGGTGAAGAGATTGAGATTGTTGACAATTTCAGTTTGCTTGCCTCTACAATAAACGCTCTTGGTACCAGCAGCCAGGAAATTAAATGATGAATTGCATTGGGAAAATCTGCTGTCAGAGACCTCTCCAAAGTACTTAAGAACAGCAATGTCAGTTTGGAGACTAAGGTGGACCTGATTCAGGCCATGGTCTTTGCCATTACTTGCTATGTGTCAGAGAGCTGGACAATTATTAGGGATGATAGAAGGAGAGTTTATGCCTTTGTGCTGTGGTGCTGGAGAAGAGTATTGAATATACCATGGACTGCTAGGAGAAAAAAACAAATTCATCCTGGAGATGGTGAAACCAGTCTGCTTCTTGGAGGTAAGGATTCTGAGGCTTCATCTGACATACTTTGGACATGTTGTAAGGTAGGAGAGGGACGTTATGCTTGCGAGGGTAGAGGGATAGCACAGGAGAGGAAGACCTTTGATGACATGGATTGATTCAGTCACTGGCGTAATGGGGATAGGTGTGTTGGGGACAATAAGATTGGCAAGAGATAGAACAGAGTTTTGTACATAGGGTCTCTATGAGTTACAGGTGACTCAACAGCACATAATAACAACAAAAGTTATAAGCATCCACTAAAAATGGAAAAGTTGAACGTACGAAGTGTGAATGTAGAAAAATTGTACATTGTTAAAAAAGAAATGTTGTTGGGTACCATTAAGTCAAGTATGACTCACAGTGATCCTATGAACCCACCCGAATCCTGTCAATTCCTGTGCCATCCTCAACATCTCTGATATACTTGAGCCCATTGCTGTACGCACCATGTCAATACATATTGATGGAGGTCTTCCTCTCTTTTGCTGACCCTTCGTCCTTCCAAGTTTGATATACTTTTTCAAGGAATAGGCTCTCTTAGTATCATGTCCAAACTATGAGAGAAAAACTTTGCTATTCTTGCCTCCAAGGAGCACTCTGGTTGCACCTTTTCCAAGACATACTTATTTATTCTTTTGGTAGTCCACAGGATATTCAGTACTCTTCTCCAACACCACAACTCAAAGACATCACTTCTTCTGTCATCTTTCCTCATTGTCCAGCACTCAGATGCATAGCAATGAATAAAAAAGAACATTACCATGAATCAAGTGCACCTTAGTCTTCAAACTAATATCATTGTTTTTCAATATTTTGGAAAGATCTCTGAAAGTAGACTAGCCCAAAGCAGTATGTCTCCTTATTGGCTGACTGCTTAGTATCAAGGGTGTTGATTGTGGATCCGAGCAAGACAAAATCATTAACAGTTTCAATCCTTTCTTCCTCTATCATGATGTTGACCAGTGGCCCATGGTAAGGACCTTTGTCTTCTTGATGTTAAGATATAATCCATATTGAAAGCTGTAGTCCTTGATCTTCTGCAACAAACACTTCAGGTTCCTCTTGCTTTCAACAAGCAATATTGTGTTATGTGCATAGTGCAGATTGTTGAAGCATCTTCCTCTGATCCTGATGCCACATTCTTCTTCATAAACTCTGGCTTCACAAATTATTTGTTTTTCATACAGATTGAATAGGTATGGAGAAAGGATTCATCCTTTACACACACACTTCTCAACTTTAAACCATACAATGTTTCCTTGGAGCACATAAATATTGACATACTAGGCATGAGAAAGCTGAGATGGATCAGTATTGGATACTTTGAATCAGACAATTATATGATGCCAGTAATGAAAGAGTGAAGAAAAACGATATTTCCTTCATAGTAAAAAAGACCATTACTAGATCCCTTCTGAAGTACAATGTTATGAGTGACAGGATATCACCCATATGCATACATGGAAGACTTCTTAATTCCACTATCATTCAAATAAATGTACTAAGAACTGAGGCCAAAAAGAATTAAATAGAAAATGTATATTAGCTTTTAAAGTCTGAAATTGATCAAATATGGAACCAGAATGCACTAATATTAATTGGTGTCTGGAATGCAAAAGTTGGGAACAAGAAAGAAGGACTAGTAGTTGAAAACTATGCCTTTGGTAAAAAGAAATGAAGCTTGACAGAGAATCATAGACTTCTGCATAATCAATGATTTATGTACTGCAAATGCCTTTAATAAAAAACACAAATGGAGACTGTACACATGGACCCTACTAATGATTTACCCAGGAATCAGATTGATTGATTGATTGTTGTTATGGGCTGTCAAGTCAATTATAACTCATAGTGACCCTTCCACAATTGCTTTGAACCCTATCCTGAGCCAATCTCACTGTCTGTAATTAATACACCTGCACTCATTACCCTAGTTATTGTGTCAATCCATCTCATCGGGGGTATTCCACTCCTCTGCTGCCCCTTAACATTCCAAGCATGACATCCAACTCCAAAGACTAGCCCCTCCTGGAGAAACTCAAAACCAACTGTGAAACCAGGCCAGGTGCTAATTGTGGAACAGATCATCAACTACTCATGTGCAAGTTCAAATCAAAGCTAAAGAAAATTAAAACAAATCCGCAATAACCAAAATACAGTTTTTAGTCTACCTCACTTGAATTTAAAAAACGTCTCAAAACCAGAACTGTGGGATGATATAAAAGATATTATCCATAAAGAAAGGTAAAGGTCATTACAAAGGCTGAGTAAACAGAAAAGACCAAAATGGATGTCAGAAGAGACTCTGAATATTGCAATAAATCACTGAGAAGCATAAATTATGACGTTAGAGAGCAGAACAGAAGGTTTCAATAGACAATGAAGATAAAGCCAATTATTAGAAAATGTGCAAGAGCTGGAACCAGAAAATCAAAAGGGAAGAATGTTAGGAATTTCTCAAGCTGAAGGAATTGAAGAACAATTCCAAGCCTCAAGTTGCAATACTGAAATGAGCTAAGGGGAGAAACCTGAAAATCAAGGAAACATTAAAAAAAAAAAAAAAAAGAATACATGAAGTCACTGTACCGAAAAGAATTGGCTAACACAGAATCATTTCAGGAAGGAGCAAAGGATCAAGAACCAATGGTAATAAAGGAAGAAGTTAAAGTTGCTCTGAAGGAATTGGCAAAAAATAAGACCCTAAGAATTGATGGAATAATAATTGACATATTTCAACAAACATATGCAGCCTTAGTTATACTCACCAGGTTGTGCCAAGAAATCTGAAGGACAGCTGCACATCCAATTGGCTGAAAGAGATCCATATTTATTCCCATTCCCAATAAAGCTGATCCAACAAAATATGGAAATTATTGAACAATATCATTAATGACATGTAAGCAAAATCCTGCTGAAGATTATACAAAAATGCCTAGACAGTATATCAGCAGAGAACTGCCAGAAATACAAGCTGAGTTTAGAAGAGACCATTACACTACAGCTATCATTGCTGTTATCAGATGGATCTTGGTTGAAAGTAGAGAGTATTAGAAAGATATCTTTCTATGCTTTACTGATGATGCCATAAGATTTAACTGGGTGAATCACAACAAGTTGTGGCTAACATGGGGAGGAATGAGAATTGCTGAATACTTGACTGTCCTTGTGTGAAAACTAGGCCAAGAAATTGTCATCTAAATAGAACAAGGGAAAACTGAATGGTTCAAAATCAAGAAAGGACTACATTAGAGATATATATTTTTCAATCTGTATCCTGAACAGCTCATTTGAGTGGGTGGACTTTTTGAAAAAGAATGTGGCATCAGGATTGGAGGAAGAATCATTAACAATCTACATTATTCAGATGACACAACCTTGTTCCCTGAAACTGAGGAGGACTTGAAGCAGTACTTAGTGCAAAAAATAAAGTTATACAGCCTTCAATATGGATTGCATTTCAACATCGAGAAAACAAAAATCCTCACCACCAGGCTAATGATTTCATCTTTACTTTACTCCCAATCAACACCCTTGGCACTAGCAGTCAAGAAATCAAAAAACAAGTTGCATTGGGAAAATTTGCTGTCAAGAACCTCTCCTGAGTGCTAAAGAGCAATAATATCAGTCTAAAGACTAAGGTGCATGGGATTCAGGCCATGATCTTCTCAATTATTTTCTATGCACCTGAGAACTGGACAATAGCTAGGTATGACAGAAGAATTGCTGCTTTTGAATTATTATGCTGGAGAAGAGTATTGAACATACATCTGTTGTGGAGAAAATTAAACCAGGTTGCTCCTTGGAAGCAAAGATTCTGAAACCCAGTCTCTTATATTTTGTACATGTTATCACAGTGGTCTAGTCCTTGGAGAAGAACTTTATGGTTGGACAGGTGGAAGGTCAGCACAGGAGGGGAAGCCCATGGATGAGATGAATTGACATAGTGTTTGTGGCAATGGCATCAGATGTTTTGGAGATGGTGACTTTGGATAGAACAGGATTCAGAGCCATTGTTCCTAGGGTCACTATGAGTCATACCCAACTCAACAGCACACAAAAACAACAAATATAAATGTATGTGTACACTCTGAGGGCCAATCTTGTAGGACCTTGTTCTGCTAACCCAGACACTCTCTGAGTGTTTGAATCTATCAATGATGGCTCAGTGGGAGAAAGAGTGGCAATGTCCTCCTGTATGATTTACAACCTCAAAAACCCAATGGAGGGTCAGCTATGAGTCAATTAAAACTTGTTGGCAGTGAGTTTATAATTTGATGAATTTTGCAAAGATATTTCCAAATATTGAAGAGTCCCAAATTTGCTGGAACAAATGCTAATTTGTAATAGTGTGATTTCTTTAATGATCTATTACATTGCGTTGTTACTGCTTTACTAGAGATTTGTACATTAGCACTCAGAAAAGGCTACTCTGTGGCCATCCCCTGCTATTGTAGCCCTGATTTTCCTTTGATAAGAAATAACTATGAGACATTCTTAATTTCTTTGCATTCAAATAACATAACTAGCACATCTACTAAAGTACTTATACATATTGTTTTTAAAATTTTATTTGCTTTTGTTTTTGTCAGAGTTCTTTGATAACATAAAGTGATACTATTTATGAGAAGGTGGTCTGAAAATAAATGACTAAATTAAAGAAAAATTAGAGTCCAAAAACATCTCTAGGACAAATGTCTTTAGTACAATAAAGGTATAATTTCATTTTAGAGGAAATGATGCAAGCAGAGAGTAGTATGGGGATTTGGGGGAGAAGATGGATGCATATTTCTATTTCAATCCTTACACAAATGCTGACTTGATATATATTAAAATTTAAATGTGAACGTTAAGTCATCAGTATAGGTGAAATATTTTTAATTATTCCATGAACGATATAACTAACAAGAATGCAAACTTCTGAATAATGAAAACCATACAAAAAAATAAAGACAAATTTTCAACAAATCCGAAATAATGAGTAATAGTTGTGCTATAATATAATAAAAAAGAATCTTCAAATTAACATCAAGGAAACCAAATAGAAAAAAAATCATCCTAGGACTAAACTAAGAAATTACTCAAACGAAACACAACTGCCTTTAATAATATAAAAATGTTTAAGCTTACAAAAAATCACATAAATATGATATATAAATTTTATACTATCGTAGCATAAGCTACTAAAATTTTTTTTAAATAACCAAGTGTTGTCATTCGAAAGTATCATGTGGTAATGACAATTTACCTATACTGTTGGCATGAGAGCAAACTTTGATAGAACTTTTGGGGATGCCAAATTAGTACTATTTGTAAAACTTGTTGTTTGTTAGGTGCTGTAGAGTTGTTTATGACTTATAGTCACCTTTTGAACAATAGATCAGAACCTTGCCTTATCCTTTAAGTAGATATAATTTTTAACCTAAAAATTTCACTTTTAAGATAATGTATTTAGGATATAATTGGTTATTTGTTTGATGATGAATCAAGTGAATTAGAATGATTATTGTTGTTGCTGTTGTGTGTCATCGAGTCAGAACTGACCAATAGCTGAGCCTCTAGAGGGTTTTCAGAAGCAGGTGAACATCAGGTATGTATATTTGCTAAAAATTTAAAAAAACTTCACATGTTTATTAATAAGGAATTAGATAAACAAGCTATAGTGCTTCTTTATAATTGATTATTATTCAGTCAGGAAAATGGCCTATAACTAAATAACATTTCATTGTCTAATACATAAGTTCACCATGCATTGCAGTCACCTCAATAGCAGGTAACAATAATAATGGTAACAAGTTTCATATACATTAATGTGACATAGGGAGCCCTGATGGCTTAGTGGTGAGGAATTGGGCTTCCCACCCAAAGGTATGCAATTCAAACCCACCAGCTGGATTCGAAATGTGGACGATCTCCTCTTGTGTGATGTACATACAGCCTCTGAAAATTGGCTGGAAGCTCAGCAAAGAGTCAGCTCCAGCTTGACGGCACATAACAACAATGTGAAATACGTAGACAATGTACTTTTGTTTTTTTTTTTTAAATTATTATTAAATTGTATTAGTTTTAATGAACATTTACAGGGATTTTGGGTTTTCATTCCTTCATTGCTGCACCATTCTCCCTACCCTCCTCCCCAGTTTGTTCTTCTTCCCCCGCCATCCGAATGTCTGTTTTAATTGTCCAATTGCCACAGTGCTTGTCAAAGTCAGTTCTGATTAATAGGTACTTTGCAAAAAGGATAACACATTATATTATTATTCAATGTATAATATGAAGCTCCTGCAGCTGTGAGTTTTTTCTATCAGGAAGTGGTAGAAATAGTGTCGAGAATTATAGGAGAATGCTATACAAATTCTAGTGATAATATATGGAAATTTACCAAACTCAAAGAGGATGGAGTACTCAGATTACCTGTGATTTCAGCAATCCTTGCATCACTGCTGTATGGAAAGGAGAGGTATCGGATATTTTTGGTGCCAGCCTATGGGTAACAAGTGGAAATTAAAAAAAGAAAAAAATAATTCATTATTGTGATTGGATGCTTAGTATGGCAATTAAAGTGAAGGACAACAACGTATAATGAGGTATTTTGTTTGGATTAATGGTTTGCAGAATGTTTTAGCCTTCAATATGTATTTCCTTTTCCATTTGTAGTACAATGAACCACTATGAATCACGGTCAAATATTCCCAGACACACTGTGAGCTTAGACACAAGACTGGAGAAGTCTTCACCAGAATCAACCTTCACCAGAATTCCTCATAATATTGATCATCTTAAATAAAAAAAAAAAATCAAGTGCACAGCACATGGAATGATGAGCAGGCCCTAATGTTTTGGAAAAAATAACTTTTCTGTATCTTCCTGTGAGAGAAATAAATCTCCTATGGCCACATCTCCATGGATGTTCCCCTGCAAAGTTCAAACACCAAGGTGTCCATCCCAGGACATACAGTCCAACAAGTATGTTCCAGTGACAGACCCATTCTGAAGGAGTGATCAGTGCCATGCGTCTCAGGTTCCGACAGCGGCCAAGATCCAGGAAAGAAGACAAAGAGGTTGCCTTTGTATTCTTTGTCTTGGTATCCTGTGCCCTCTTACTCTTTTTATGTTTCACTGACATAAAGTATTATTTATTTCTGATTTTTAATATCCATGGTAGTTCACCCCAGGAAACTCTGTACAGGAACAAGTCCAGTTATCAGGTGGCAAACATTTGCTAAGGGATGGAATGTGCCCAGTCAACAGTCCCAACCAGTACCTGCTTCCCCCCTGGTAGGCTGTGGCCTTTCCTCATACTCTCCCTTAAGGTGTTCTGGCGGCGGATCAGAATCTCTTTTGCCTGCTTTTCACTTGACTGAGGTTTGAGGTTGTACTTGTTGTAGGACAGGGTCTGCAGAGAGAACAGAATGACAGGTTGTTAGGTAAAGTTTACCTTTAAAAAGGTATGGAGGTCATAATAGAAAAAAGGAGTCCTGTTATCTTTGTAAAAGACAAGGTTAGAAATGAAAGGCAGTAAAGGAAAGATTAGGGAGTTCTGGTGGCCTAGTGGGAAGGGAGTTTCTCTGTGAACCCAAAGGCATTCAGTTCAAATCTGCCAACAGTTCTGCGGGAGAAAGAAGGTCTGTTGCCTCCCATTTGATTACAGGACGTTGAAAGCCTGCTGAAGGATCAGCTATTTGTCAGTTCCACCTTGATGACAATGTAAATAAAGGGAAAGATTGGGGAGGATCATTCTCTTAAAGCACTAAAAATGGAGATATAAAGCCATTTAAGATGTTACAGTTCTCCTTGATTTCTTGTATGTGTTTTTCTCACTTAACTTTCAACACTGTTCAACAGTAGCTAAAACATTGCCATCAAGATGGTTTCAACTCATATGGATCCTCTATTGGATTTGCAAGTCTAAAGCACTTAATGGACAAACAAACCGAAGGAATTTTAAACATAATTGGAAAGAAACTAGCATTTTTTTTTCCACTGGAGTTGGTAAAAAAAAATCAGTTCTTTAGAAGTTCTCTATATACTTCAAGTTGTGACAACAGAAATTTGGATACTGAATAACTTAGGAGACAAATCTCTCAAGGACAGACTGAGTAGATCTATTACTTTAAAAAGAAGCAGCTGTCGATGTAGGTACCTGTGTCAAGGAAATCAAATAGAGACGAAGAAGTTGGTATTATTCTAGACTCAATTAGGGTCCAAAGATCTCCATTTCCTTTTCTGATTTCTTCCCCAAATTTAATCTCCATCAACCCAGAGAAGAGGCTGAATACTGGGCATCTTTTGCACAGTGGCCTTCCTTTCTAAACTACCTGCATTCTTCAAACCAGAAAGTTCTTACCTCCCTATCTAAAGCAGTATGTGATAGTCTTATTGAAACTGTTTTACTTGGAATGATTTGAAAGCCATGGAATTAACTCTAAGTATGCTAAGACTGATATCAATGGATAATGTAGTTCTGGAGTCATGGAAAGAACACCACTTGGTGGTTAGAAAATCTTAGTTCCTATCTTGAATTTGTTTTGTGACCTTGAAGAGTGAGATAAGCAATTTCCTTAACTTCAGAATTTTCATCTACAAAAGGAAGAACTGTGAGAACAAGACAAGAAATTTGGGTGCTGATTGACTTAGGACAGAGAATTCTAAGGACAGATTGAGTAGATCCACTTACACAAAATAGAAGTTATCTATTTGGAAACCTGTGTCAAAGTATTATTTTAATTTATTTTTATCTTATCAAGTCCATGATCTAAGATAGTTCCAAAGTCAAGGCACTCACAGTGAAAGAACTTGAACTCATTCTCAAGAATCATGATTGACAAACCTGTTTTTGAAAAAAGCTTTTGATTAGAGGGTACAGAGATGTCTGAGGAATTCAAGATTTCAGAAGGATGCCTCACATTGCCCCTAGGATGGTTCTTGCTATGCACTTTGAACTAGCTCTCGAGTGCTGTACAGATTTCATACCTATTTATTTTTCATATATAAATTAAGTCCAAAATTTTAAAAAATGCCTAATACAGCTCCTTTTAATCAACCTTTATGAATTGTAGTTTCAATATTCTAACCCAACCAAGCTCAATTTTTTCAAATTCTAACATAGTGACTTTGGGACAAATTGATGGGCATTAGCATTCTGGTGCCATCTTTTTCTGCGTTACTGATGGACTAGCTTCCCCTGTGGTCTGTCATCAGAAGAGAGACCGGCTAGTTTTGGACCGCTCTGGGCTGCAGAGCTAGGGTAGCCTGACCCCTAGAGCCGGGAACTGGATTTGCAGTTTTCTTTAAACCACAGGTTAGTTCTCGCCTCCCCTCCCCCCCCCCAACTCGCCCCAAGATAATAGGTAACAATAAGTTTCTGTTCTCCTAAGGAAAGAAAAACCGAAGACTGCTTTTGAAAGGATAATATAAACAAGAACGGATTCCTGGAGGACTGGTTCCGAGGAGGGGCAGGAGGGACATTCCAAGCGTCTCATACACACCCTTTGCCGTACTTGGTACATGTTTCGCGTCAGAATGTCCCTCATGGACTCCACATCTTCTGGGGAAAGCCTTTTGGTTCCTTGTATCCTCTGAGTCCTACAAACAATATTGGAAAGAAGCCAAGAATTATCCTTCCGTTTTAGCAAGAAAGAATTCTAAAGTTCTCAAACGCCTGATTTTAAATATTATTCTAACAATTATTAATTTATTAAAATGAACTAATGGTTTATGTGAAGTATGAGCTTATGTTCTGATATTCAGAATAAAAGTTTAAATGTACAGTTTTAGGTACATGGTTCCTTGGCCTATAGCTTTTGTTTGGGACTTGTACTAAGGTGTTTGAAAAATAAAATTTAGGGGGGTAAAAGATGAATGGGGGTTGGGTTTTTTTTCCTTCAGGTCTGGCATGAACTGATACATATGTAAAATATAGTAGAATTCAATTATTAGAAAGTAAAATTTTTAAAAATATAATAAAGTAGCATTCAATGCTTGCTTGATTAAAAGAAAAATGACTTAGCCAAAGGCTGGCATTTATTTCTCTAATTTTACAGTGTTCCACTCACACTGTTAACTGGTCAGTCCCACTACGTGGGCTACATATTAAGTAGCACTGATTCAAAATTTTGTGAGTACGCTTAATTCAGAGTTAGTAATTTAGAGATTTTATGTGAAAAAAATTGGAAAAAAAGATTCTCTGCTGGCTTAACCTGTAGCATGTTGTGCTGCTAATGAAAAATTGTACTAACTGGACCACTTTCACCTTGGAAACAAGTCTAAGCTTTGATGCAATGGGCACATTATGGGATTCTAAACACAGGCGTCCACTCATTCCTTCAGCACTGACCACCTCCATATACCCCTTTCACCATGACATAGATTTCTTGCCTCCATCCCTGCACTCAAAATCCAGGTCATGCACAGGTTAGCAGTCCTCTGGGATTTCAGAGTCATGCCTTTGTTATTTCAGAAATCTCATCTAACAAATGTGTTAAATTTCAATCTAGTGGAAGCAGTTTGGAGTGGGGTGTTTTGTTGTTGTTGTTTTTTCCTTTTAAAAATTGTAACACAAACAAAAAACAGTCTCTTCTTTAAAATACTATGAAGATGCCCATGTAGTGCAGTGGTTAAGGTCTAGACTACGAGAGCTCAACATTGGATGTCCTTTAAGCATAGATAAGTCTTCCTTACTGGCTGTGTAGCTTCTGAAAATATATGCCAGTGGTGCCAAACATTTTTTTTTTGTTTTTAAGGAAAAGAGCTCTTCTTTTGTTTATTATTCCTTCCTAATAGTTTCAATGGGGAATTCTGGCATAGCGGTATAAGGAGTTGTGCTGCCAACCCAAAGGCATGCAGTTTGAGTCTACCAGATGCTCTATGGGAGAGATGGGCAATATCTTCCCCTGAGATTTACAGTTTCTGAAAACTTGCTGGAGTATCAGCTATGAATCTAAGGATCAGTTATGATTCCAAAGCAAAGGCATCTAACAACAATAGCTTTAAAGACCTCAAACCAGTCTCTCGCAATATTGAACCCCCAGAAGGAAACAGGTAGTGAGGCAGACTTTGTGACTCTGATACAGACTTTGGGCTTTGTTCGCCAGGCAGGTAATAGTTGGTGGGTTTGAGGGCAAGGCTGGTCCTCAGACTCAAAGAGGTGGAACAGCAGGCAGGACAGGCTGTGTGCTCCACTCCCTCCCAGCTCAATCCTTCTTGTTCTGCTCCCAGGCCTCTTGCTAGCACCATTCCTCTGGCCTGTGCAGCAGCTGCAGCAGTGGCTGTGGTGAGGGGAGGGAGATGATCCAGAAGCAGGGTCCCTTAAGGTTTTCATGTTGTATTCACAGCACGTTTAAACCACATAACGTCCTTCATCACGGAATGTACTGCACACAGTAAGCGACACACATCTGTATATTTTTCCAAACATCTTCGTCAATGAGGCCATAAGCAGTAAGGAGATGTAGAAATTAATGCATAATTTTGAAAGATTGTATACTGAATAACAAAATATGATGGCTACTGTCACCAAATTGTGAGCATCTGAATCTAAACAAACTGAAGAAAGTGTTCACATTATCTCTTAGCTGCCTTATTGTCTCTTAAAAAAAAAAGTTACATACCAAAAAAGAGAAGTTTAAAATATAAGTATGTCAGTGCAAATATGAAGTCAAATAGATGTTACATTTAAGCCCTAGTATGATTTATTAGGAGATCAAACACTGCAGCCTGATTCACTTAGTATAATTTGGCTTCTTCTAATGGATTTTGATGACACAATTTGTGGGAAATGTACATTAAGATGAATGAAAGACATGATCATTGAGTAAATCTAAGGTCCAATAGCTGTTCTCTTTGTGCCTTTATAGAAATGTTACCAGAATAACCAATGTTTAGAATGAATGAAGGAGAGAAGAGAAGATGGCATCACTTCCCACAACATCCCAGTCCCAGTGCAGAGCTGAACCAGTCTCTGTCCCAGGGCCTTCAGAACAAAAATGTGCAAGTTTAAACTGGTAGCTGTCAATATGAAATCAATCAACACTTTCTGTGTACAATGAAGTTACTTTCTATTATTTTATGAATGATATGTTAAAGTTATTGGGAAATTTCTAATAATATTTTAAAATTCTATAGTTACAGTTTACTATGTTTGTATATTTTATAAATATTTTTATATCCTTTTTGGATTTGTTGAAATTTTTAAGCCTGGAGACATTTAAATTTTATTGTGGTAAAATATACTTACTTAACAAAAATGTTGCCATTTTAACTATTGTAATTTTACAATTCAGAGACATCAGCTACTTTCACCATGGTATAATCCAATCACTACTATTAATTTCCAAAAGTTTTCCATGAATCCAAGCAGAAGCCCAGAAATCCAGTGTCCTATTAGCAAGAATCCCCATATCCTCATAACCCTAAACCCAGGGAACCACTGATAAATTTTGGTTCTATTTATTTGCATATTCTGAATATTTGATATAAATTTACCATAAAAATATTTGTAGCACCAAAATTTTTAATTAGTCTGAGTTGCTACTATCATATTTTTACACTCATTGTAAGGCATAATGCTTTATATATTATATATAATAAGCTGTATACGGCACCTATTTTTTTAGGATTATTTGGAGAATTAAGATAATATATACAAATACAATAGGATTTTACATATTTAACATCATCCTCACTGCATTATATACAACTTCTGATGGTAGTACTGTACCACAGATTATAGGATTTAGAAATTTAAACTTCTTGAAAAACAGTTGCTTAGACTTCTGGAGAAAGAAAAAAAATTGATGTGTGTTTTGCTGTTGCCATCTCATGCACAATAATATGAAGCAAACTGAATACACACTTCTTTTTCCTCTTATTGTATGAAGGTTTGTTGCTCCAAACATTAGCTGCTTTGATCCTTAGAGAGGAATTCCTTTTTGCTAGATGTCCTACAGATTTCTGATGAGATCAAATAAATGCAATTTAAATACTAAACTTGTGTTAAGCTCCAGCTTTTAAAAACCGCCTTCCCCACCTCAGTTAACCCACTGGTTTTGGTGACAGAAGGAAGAGAAGTCCTTTACTTACTACAAAGCTTTCTTTCTAATCTTGAATCAATGTCTGAAAAATAATTGCCTAAGCAGAGGGGCAGAAGGGCCTTTTTCAAATAAAGCTGGTTTAAAAATTTCCTTCAGATCAGAAACTGAGGAAATTGCTTATGACCTGTGCAACATAGTGCAGAGATTCATAATATGCTTTACCACATGATAGACTGATTTTCATTTGAGATAAGCATCCCACATACCTATATCAACTGCTCACATAACTTATAACAGATCCAATCCAGGAAGTCCTTATACTCTGAACTGTTGGAACTTGGCCAGCCTCCTCTACACGGTCCAGGCAGGTCCACCTCATCCGTTAGTGAGGAGGTAAACTGCTGGTGGTCAGATTTGGCTTACATCTTATAGTATACGCTTGATGGTTCCCTATTCTGGACAATATATATTTTATTATTATTTTTTTTATATAAATGTTTTGACCCTGCTAAATCATGACAGCAAAGACTGCGACTGCTTTTACTATGTTTGGAACAGAAACTGTCTCATTGGAAGTGATTCATAGCTGACACTTCACAGGGTTTTCCTAAGCTGTAAAGGGCAGGGGAGGCCATTGTCCATATTTCTCCAACAAAGTGCTTGGTGTGTTCTATTCACCAAGGGGTCAGCTTTGGGGTTAGCAGGAAACTCCACCGAGCACATTTTGGCAAATACTGTTGCTCTTATGTATTGTTGAGTTGGAATCCATTCACAGTTGACCCTCCAGTGGATTTTCAGAGGCTTTAAATCACACAGGAAAAGACTGGGCATCTTCCTCCCAAGGAGCAGCTGGTGAATTCAAACCTATTGCCCTCCAGCTAGCACACTAAGTTGGCACACTTTGAGCCACCAGGTTCCCAATAAAGAGTGCTGGGCGAGTGAGCACCTGCCATAGATACAAAATGTGTGGTGTAGACAAAACCTCAATAATCAAGATAAGCATTTTTTTAATGCTATATTTTAGAAAACAAGAATTAATGCAAAAATACACAGTGAATAATATATCAAATTTTAAAGAGAGACAGGGCTAGTATTACTGATTGTTCTTTTTGCCTTCAGCTCCAGTCTGGCTCAGCATGACATTACACTAGTATATATATTTTTAGTACATTCCCATTTTAGTATCAGAAGCGTCTGTAAAATCTTATAATGAGAAGCACTAAAACAAACAAATAAGAAAAACAATTTCACTGAGAAATGAAGCCTTGTATTTCCTATTTATATTGTGTTCCCTTCAGGGAATGCAGTGTAGACATTTAGAGTTTTCTCAGGCCATGTAAGAAAGGTGAGGGTGTTTCTGATTCATTAACAGCTAAGAGATGAAGGAAGGTGTTATCTCGGAAATAATACTCACATATTAGTGTCAATGTCATTGCTATCTATTCTTGGCTCTTCCCTCATCTTACTCTTTAAAGGTGAGAACCTAATTGAACCTCCTGACCAAATGTTTTCAGCAGCTGAAGATGACAGGGTGGGAAGGGGTGGCTGGTGGGCCTACTGCTCCTTCTTCTAAATGTGTGTTATGATAACTTCTCTTGATCCATTGGGTTACAACTGGGCATCTTCGAGAGATTAATTAATGCTTGTGAACTTGAAGGGGATTTTGTTAATGTCAGACCAAGAATCGTGGGGAAGTTAAGGGGGCTTTGAAAAACACCTAGCTACAGTGCTTTAGAAAATTAGTCTCTAGATGTTCCCAGAGGACTGTTTTAAAGAAAGGGATACAACTCATTACCATCCACTCAGAACCAACTCATAACTGACCCTACAGTGGTTTTTTTTAGAAGCAATAAATTACAAAGGAGGGGATTGCCCATCTTTCTCTTACAGAGCTTCTGGTGGACTTGAACCATCTGCCTTTGGGTTGGTAATGCAACTCAACCCACTAGGCTGCCAGAGATCCTGATGTTAAGGGAAGCCATTGTGCAATGATGGATTCATATTCTGGCATCTTCTCTGTGTCTCATTTTTACATCAACTTCCTGTGTCATTCTCAAAAGTCAGTAACCTCCCTGCTCATATTCCAAGCAAGGTAAACCTCACACAGACTCAGGTTTCACAATCTTACTTTGATAGTTATGTTAGATAAAATTACAAGTGCAACTTCCTTTTTCAATGGCCCATCAAATACTATACTGTTGCGGGATGTTGGGGAGGAAGGGAGGGTCTCTGGTCAGGACAGATCACCTAAGCTCTGGATAACTGCAATCCTCCCACGGCCTTTAATATGAGTTAGAGAAAGCTCCCCTGTGTTTGGCTATACTCACTTGAGAAAGCTCGCTACCTGGGAAGACAGCTACTGCATCTGTTGAGCTAAGAGTGGTCCGCAGGAGGCTGAGGTTCTCCCTAACCAATCCGCATGTCCTCCGTCTGTAAACCCACCCTATCCTGTCTTCCTGTTTATATAAGGGTGCTGCAGTCCCAATAAAATTGAGCTGGATTGACTCTGATCCTCTCCCAGAGTAGTGTGTCTCCTTGTGCTTACCCCCATCAGGGTGTCTCTGTCAAGTTGCTGGGGAACTCACAGCAACACCATACCTTTCATTACTACCACAAGTAAAACATGGTGACTTCAAGCATTTTTTTTTAACCAGACTTATACCCCAATGGATCTTCATGGTTATGATCTTTTGAAGGAGCTAGGCAGACCATTTCTCTGAGGCACCCATGGGTGGGTGTGAAACATTAACTTTTCTTCTACGTGGTATAGCACTAGTCTGTGCATCGCTGTACAGAGGCAACTCATAGTTGCTGTGATCTAAACACTAATGTGGCAGATGCAATAATGGTTACCTATGGTGGACAGTGTTTGGTGGAGCTTCCCGATTAAAACAATCTTGGAAGCAGGAATGGCATCCACTTCTGAAATGGCTTACCTCCGGAAACTCTATGAACAGTGCTCAGGTCTTTTGTTCATAGGGTCGCTATGAGTTGTCTATGACTCAATGGCACTTAACAACAACAGAAGATATCCCAACACCTAGCCATTAATACCATCTGGAAACTCTTCACCACCACCTCTCCTCCTCAAGGTTGGATTTGAGGTTGAGCTTGTCAGGAGGTTGAGCTTGTCAGTCTTGACTCAGGAGAGGAAGAGAATTGACTTACCTGAAATCATGCAACAGTGCAATAGCAAAATCTAAAGAATTTAGGTTAATAAAGGCTATTCTAAAAGGTCCATATTTTAGTCAGAAGGGGAAAGACAGGCTTGGCAAAGGTCTTAAAATTCTTTAAATTTACTTGCCCATCTGATCCCAAGAGAATAGTCATAAGGTAATTCTAAGGAGGTAACTTTGGCTAGGAGGTCATTTTCAGAAAGTAAGTGAAACACGTTGGGCATAGGCCAAGCCACAAGATGCCAAGACATAGTCTAGCATTACATCATGACTCCATACTCCTGTTTCTTCCTCAGCACTCCCTGTATCCCAGTGACCCAGAATAATGGGCCAGTCTGCCTTGGAATTCTGACTAGGAATGTAGATCAGAATGCAGATATGACTTACTGGTAGGGCACCAAGAAAACTGTGGAACGTATTACCCCAGTCTCCACCATCTCGATAGCTTGCTTCATTTCTAGCTTCTTGTACAAAGACACGATGCTCGATTTGGGCTGATTCGTTCGTATTAAGATTTTCCGTAAATATCTATGATCGAACTTCTTAAACCTAAAAACAAAAACCGAGATGCCGGAAATATTTCCTCTCTGTGTATATTCTATGAGTATCTTTTCTTAAACTAAGTATCAACTTACTATTCACTATTCTGAAAGACACAAGGGCAATGTCTGGAGTTCATAGCGTTTAAACATATTGCTTCCCCACTCCCTCCCATGCTAAATCATAGCATTTATATATATTTTTTAAAAAATAAAGGAAGAATAGCCTACTGGCACATTGAAAATCAACTAAACAAAAGCAAGAGACGAGCTGCAATCAGGGTAAAAAGTGAGCCTACACAGGGAATGGGAGTGGCCCAGTCCAGGGCGGCTCCGATTGTAAGAGAAGAAATGAGGGTGGATGGGGCTTTTGAACAAGTGTTCCATTCTAATAGCTCCTAACAGCAGCAGCTGCACTTACAGTAATACTGGCCTATTCAACCAGAACCCAGTAAGTTTAAATGGTCTGGCAGTTACAGTAGTTTTGCCCCATTATGCTGCAGATCATTTTGAATCCTGCCAATTAAGCGTGGGGGTGGGGAGGGGAGGATGGAGAAGAAAGAAAAAACAACGCACATATGTCCCGACAGTCTAAATGGTGGAGACACTGAATAGGCTAGACGCTGATGGGAGCTGACTATTGTGTACCCCTGGCCGGCCCATTAGCGGCTGAGTGGCACGTATGCATGTGGCCACAGTTTGTTTAGAACAGAAATTTTCAACACTTTCAATCACTTTACATTCAAGGAGTCGTTTGTCTGCCTGCTTTATTTTGTGGAGGGAAGGGTAATTTCCTGGACTACGGGCTTATTGTCTCCTGATTGGTCTCTTCTCCATGAGACACCCAGACTCCTTTTCAGTGACGTGTCCCCAGGTGCAGCCTTCTGTGATGTGTTCTTGACACATACATGCCTATTCTTGCCCCACCGAGGTGAGCCACCAGCCTTCTGACCTTCTTTGCTGGCCTTCTTTCTAAGATGCTATTGTTCATGGGTATTTCTCAGCACATTGTCGGCTTCCTAACCTGCTGTTTCTTGACACTCCTTTCCTCTGGTGGTGCAAAGGAGACCTTGGTGGCGCAGAAGTTAAGTGCCTGGCTGCTAACCTAAAGGTCAGTGGTTTGAGCCCCCTACATGCTCAGTGGGGAACTGATCTGACGGTCTCATTTGGTCTTGGAAACCTTATAGGACAGGTCCTATAAGGTCACACTCTGAATGGGAATCAGAGATTATTGTTATTTGCCATTTGAGCCAAAACCAACTCATAGCTGACTCTCCAGCAAGTTTTTAGAGGTAGTCAATCTCCAGGGAAGATTGACCGCTTCCTTCCCTCAGAGCAGCTGGTGAATTCAAACCTCTTGCCTTAGGGTTTGCAGTGTAACTCCTTATCTGATAAGGCCCCCAGAGTTCCCTATGAGGTACTTGGTTGTTGTTGTGTACTGTTGAGTCAGAACTGACCCATAGATGGCCTGCCCAGAGAGTTTTCAGAGACAGTTGATCTCATGGGAGGAGATTGCTCATCTTTCTCCCATGGAGCAGCTGGTGGCTTTGAACCACTTGCCTTCGGATTGCAGCACAACTTCTTGCTACTAGGCAACCAGAGCTTGACCTGCTAACCAAAATATCTCCTAAGAAGCAAGGCCAGACAGCCGACTTCTGGGAAAGCTGGCCATTGAAAAGCGTGTGAAACACAGTACCATTCTGATTTGTATGGGGTTGTCCTGAATTAAAACCGACTCAGTGGCAACTAGGCTTATAATATCCACATGCAGTGGTCACTGTGACCCTTGTTATTTGCCACTGTGCGGCTCCCACCTGATTAGTTTCCTAGTGCCTTGCACACTCTAAATCTGTCCTACTTTCCTTCAGGCCTCTCTGATCTATTTCTCTGAGTCGCCCCATCCTTCTGTTTTCTCACCTGAAATATAGGATTGGGAGCTTCTCAGAGCCCTGACTTCAGACAGCTTTCACTCTTCGCACAGTTGGAGTGATTCACTCAAGCCCATCGATTTAGTCACCAGCTTCACAAAAAGAACTTTTGACTAAATCCTCAAAGGCTATCTGAGCACATGGGTTGACATATTTTAAATATAATCTGTTATTTAACTTCTACACATTCACTTATAATTTTTATAACTCTAAACTCATTGGCTTAGAGTTAATTCTGATACTCACTATCCATCCATTTTCTGTGGCTTTAAATTGTAAAGGGAAGCGACTACCTACTTTTTTCGAGAGGGTGGATTTGAACCTTCAGCAATGCAGTCTTTTGGTTAGCAATGCATCATCTTTCAAACTAGGCCATCAGAGCTCCCTATACTTAACATTGTTAATAATGACTGTTCTACATTGGCTATTGTCTGCAAACCTGAGAGCTGATCTTATTTTCCCTTTTGTAAGAGCCTTTCCCCCCAGCCTGTCAGTGTTCATGTTAACCGCAGAGACAGCTCAGAATTCTTTCTGGCAGCTTTTTGTCTTCATGGTCTGAAATCTCTATGGTTCTTTAAAATAAAAGAACTTTTAAAGGTAGATCTGAGTTCAAAGTAGTTCTGCTTCAGAATAGATTCAGTGGCCACTTGGAGTCAATTTCTTCATCATTAAAGTGAGAACAATAGCTATTAGAGCTATTATGCACGGCTGTTGGGGAGATTATGTGAGTCACAATATGTTAAACAGCTGGCAGGCCACATAGAGCTGACTTTATGTTATATTTTTAAAAAGTTTAGGTTGTGGGGTTTTTTGTTTGTTTGTTTTTGTTATATCTATTTTTAAAACTTCTTTACAAACCTCTCTATTAGCAGTGTCGTTTTTAACCCATTCTGCATGTCATTTCTACAGCTTGTGTTCCAAAAATCAAGTCATTTCTCTACTTAACAAAGCCTTTTGATGTGTTAAAACTCAGACAGAATTTTATAGCACAGAACACCTTAGCATTCCGTGCAAAAGTCCATGCAGCCTCTTGTCTTTCTCTGTCTGTCCTTGAACCATGTATGCTCTTTTCTGTGTCTGCACATTTATATATGCCATGCTACTATCTGGAATACTGCCCATTCATCTTCGCCTAGAGAACAAGTAACTAGTTGCTATGGAGTCCATTCTGACTCAGAGTGACCTCTTCTGGGTCCTGGTGAAACTATCCTCCATAGATTTTTTTTCCAGTGGCTGATTTTTTTAAGTAGATTGGAACCACCAAACTTTCAGTAACTGAGCTTTGCCTGGAAAACTCTTTCTTTGCTTTCAAAAGCATACTTTTATTATTATTATTATTATTATTATTATTATTATTATTATTATTATTACTCTACGCATCAACATTATATAATTTACATTCCTCATCATTATCATGTGTGTGTTCTTTTCTCTCTTTCATCCTACTGTCCATCGACTGTATTGTTAGACTCTGAAGACAAGGAGAATGCCTTGCTCTCTTACTTAAAACCAGACCCATTGCTATCAAGTAGGTTCTAATTTATGACAACCCTTCTCTCCATCTTTTTCCCCACAGAGTAACTAGTGGATTTGAACTGCTGATCTTTCCGTTTGTAGCCCAGTCAATAATCTACTGCACCACCACGGCTCCTTGATATCTGCCATCTACCTTGATGGTTTTATGAGCTACCAAGCTGGAACTGACTTGTAGCAATCTGTCATAGGTTTTAAGTAGTGGAGAAGGTAACTACTCATCTATCTCCTGAAGAGCAGTAACTGATGGATCTGGCACCACAAGTACTTACCACAAGGCTGCTAGAGTTCCCTTTTCTCTATCTCCCCTTGTTATTGTTGTTGCCACAGCTGTTATATGCTGTTGAGCGGACTGCGGCTCACAGTGACCCTATGAACAACAGATCTGAAACCTGCCCGATCCTGTGCCAACCTCACCATTTCTGTCTGGCATACTTGAGCCCATCGCTACAGCTACTTTGTCCATCCACCTTGTTGAGGGTATTTCTCTCTTAAGGTGTTCCTCCACATTTCTAAGCATGACGTCCTTCTCCTATGACTGGTCATTTCTAACAACATGCCTAGTGTATGGGAGATGAAGTTTCACCATCTTTACTTCCAAGGAGCATTCTAGTTTGATTTTCTCTAAGACAGACTTGTTTATTCTCTTAGCAATCCATGGTGTATTCAGTACTCTGCTCCAATATTACAACTCAAAGGCATTAATTCTTTTTCTATCATCCTTAGGCATTTTCCAACTTTCAGATGCATACCCAATAATTGAGAAAGCCATGGCTTGGATCAAGTGCACCTTAGTCTTTAAGCTGACATCATTGCTCTATAGTACTCTAGAGATATTCCTGACAACAGATTCTCCTGATGTGACTCATTTTTCTTTTCATTTCTTGATTGAAAAAAAATCTGTTTTAGTGACTATTAAAATGCCCAAGGTATAGATTTGTTTAAGTAAAAGAATATTGAATGGGTTTAGTTGTTTGGTTTTTTTTCTCAAATAGAAAAAACGATAGGGTTTGGATTTAAAACATCTTGATTTAAAAATGTACACCAATTTCTATTCCAGCCTTCATAAACAAAGTATAAGTTAGTCTTTTAAGGCTCATCCTCAAGGAAACTCTCTGGAGCCAGCTAATGAAGATACCATTCATTCCTTGGCTGAGCTACTCTTATTGCTGGAAGCATTTTCCTTCTTTTACATTTAAATTTAAAAGCTCCTTTCCCCTCGGTCAATTGTACTACCACTCATTGACAGCAACCTAGAGCAAGTCTATGTTTCTTTTACTTGACAACAGTTTTGTTTTCCAAGGTAGGCCTTCCCAGGACTTCTGACCAGCTCAGAGAGTGGCTCACATAGCATGACTTCTAGAACTTTAATCTCCAGGAGATCCAGTTCTGCCAGATTCTTTTAGTTTGATGTCCTGCTACCATACAACCTTTGGAGGCTCTCCATGCCACAAATATTCCTCCCCAGGTAATGAAATCTTTGGCTGCCTTACTTGTCTCTCACTTGGTAGTGACTCCATTGCCCACACACATCTTCAATTCCAGCTTTCAAATGATCCATCAGCTGCCAAACCAAACACAAGAAAACGGTTGCTGGTGAAATGTTAACGCTGAAAGACATAGAAGGAAAGTGAATACATTTTGGAAAACAAAGACAGCTTTAATATCCTGGATATTGTCCTCTTTTCTATCACTCAGTTCTTTTAGCGGAACTATGAAATACCTTTCAGAGTAATTAAACTTAGTTTCATGATTCAAGAGGTCTATAGATAAGTTTCTTGATAATGCACATAATTTGCCTTGAAGACCAGTTACCTGGCATTTGCTTTGAATAATAATTCACTAGAATGATCTCGGAAATTTTTCATTACTGAAATCACATTGATGCAAAGCCTAGTGATTAACTGATACTTTTAATTACATGCAAAATAAAAGAGAACATCAGCATTCAGTTTAAAAAATGTAATCCTACAGATCGTCTATTATATTAAAACATATAATAACAAAACTTATCTGTTTTCATTTTTAATCTAATTATTTGTTTCACATATGATTATATTTTACAGTCTAAGCCAATCCAATGTTTGTTTTATTAAAAAAAAAGTTTATCAAAACTTACAGAAAAGGAGAATTTGTTCCAAGTAATTAAAATCTATATTAGATGCTGAGGTTTTAGAAAATAAAATATTATATTGATTTATAAATACTCCATTGACCCTCTACCTTCTACCAATAAGTAAATATGCAAATTACATGGTTTTGGGTGTGGTTTGGTTTTATGGTTGGTTTTTTTTTAGAAAATAAAAATGAAATGAGAAAGGAATGTAACAACCAAGTACTGTAGGTTTAAAGCAGTTGAGATTGTCATAGGTACATAATTAGGGCTTAAAATAATGAATGAGAGAAGAAAATGATGGTGACAAAAGTCTAAAATAATGTATGCTTTTATTTTTGAAACATCTAAAACTTATTTTTTAAAAACTGCTTATATTTTTCACATCTTTAAAAAATCAAATTAATTTCTTTCTTCAGGTGGCTTCAGGCTTTAAACTCAGGACTGATTTTGAAAACCTTCACCAGGTTCTCGTGCATTAAAATTATGAACTTTCAAAGATGAAAAAAAAAAAAACAGAAAAAAATTTACTCCAATCATTTCCCCAAAGCTTGTCTCTCATGTGTCCCCACTCTAGCAAGTGTCCCCAAGCATCACTTGAACACATTTATTTCCCCGCTAACGATAAGAATAGATGATTAGAATGTTCTTTTACGTGTTGAACTAAAATCTCTCTTGTTATACCTTCCACTCTTATTTCTATTTCTTAGAGCTCTACAGATTGGGAGAAGCCATAGTGGTGCAGTGACTAAGCTCTCAGCTGGTAACTGAAAGGTTGATTGATGGTTGAGACCCATTAGTCACAGTGCAGAAGAAAAGGGTGGCAGCCAGCTTCCATAAAAATGATAGCCTTGGAAATCCTGTGGGACAGTTGAACTCTGTCCTATAGAGCGACCATGAGTTGGAATTGGCTCAATAGCAACTGTTTGGGGTTTTGGTTTTATACAGAATGACATCCCTTACAATGCCATGTTAAACTTAAAGCAATAAGTAGAAATCATGCTCGTTTATTTTTACTTTTCCAGAGTAGGAGTTTTCCACCAAACCTATCACCAGACAAGAGCCATAGTAGTTCTTCTCTTACGCTAGTAAAAGTTCAGGAAGAGCTAAGACAATGGAACAATGCTTTCAGAAGCAGTTAGGGTAACTCTACATTAGACATGGGGATGATTTTTTATGGTGTCAACTTGGCTATCCTACAGTCTCAAGTTTTTCAAACAAATATGAATCTAAGTGTTACTGTGAAAAGCACTTTGTGCTACATAATCAGCTCCTTTCAAGTAAGTGCGATCATTTTACTAATTGGGGTGAGTCTGATTCAATGGTCTTGTGGACATGGATGAGGTTTCCTGGAGGAAAAAGAACTCTGTAGTCAGGACCTTTCACACATGCTCAAGTGTTCTAGCCTGCTCTTCCTAAAGTATGCTCTGTGGATTTTGGACCTATCTAACCAGCCTTCACAATCATGCTACCCAATTATTTGCTGTGAGTCTCTTGGCATTTCTCTCCAACTGATTCTGCTCCTTTAAATAAAATGGATAGAATGCATATCCTTTAGTTACATCAGTTAGTTAGTAGGGGCAGAGAGGGAAAAAGAAAAGAAGACTGTAAGAACAGAAAAAATTACAGCAGGCAAGAAATAGACTGACAGAGCTGTCTAGCTTCACATACTTGCTACTTTTCATGGAAAAGAAAATGTGACTTAAAAAAAGGACGGAGCCAAGGGAAAAGACTAAAGAAGAGAGCTGAAAGGGGGAAGAGTGGGATGAAAATTCTCAGAGAATTATTCAGAGTTTTGAAACCAGTTTGTCCAGTTAGATTTTCAAATTACTAATGATATTTAATTTGGGGTTTCCCCCCCTTCTATCACCTCTCTCTATCTGTGTTTCACTGATTATGCAAAGGCATTTGACTGTGTGGATCATAACAAACTGTGGCAATTGGCAGCATCAGGATGGATGGTGAAGAGCCTGAGATTGTTCACAGCTTTAAGTTTGCCTGGCTCCACAGTCAACACTCTTAAAAGGCATATTGCCGTGGGAAAGTCTGCTGTTAGGAACCTCTCCAAAGTACTGAAGAGCAATGGTATATCTCTGGAGACTAAGGTGCATCTGATACAGGCCATGGTCTTTGCAATCACTTGTTATGCATCAGAGATTTGGACAGTGACCAAGGAGGACAGAAGGAGAATAGACACATTTGAGCTGTGGTGCAGGAGAAGAGTATTGAGAATACCATGGACTGCTAGGATAACAAACAAATTCATCCTGGAAAGGGTTAAACCGGGCGGCTCTTTGGAGGCAAGGATTCTGAGGCTCCATCTAACATACTTTGGACATGTTGTAAGGAGGAACAGGTCCTTGGAGAAGGACATCATGCTTGGGAGGGTGGAGGGACAGCGCAGGAGGGGAAGGCCCTCTATGAGGTGGATTGATTCAGTGACTGGGATAATCGGGATGGGAGTGTCAGAGACAGTGCAATTGGCACAGGACAGAGCAGAGTTTAGGGCTGTTGTACATAGGGTCGCTATGAGTCGCAAGCAACATCACCTCTCTCCTCTTGGTTTGAAAGTGAGTTTCTGGAACTGTTCAAATCCACCAGCCACTCCAAGAAACAAGAGCAGTATTCTCCTATAAAGATTTATAGCCACAGAAACCAAATGGAAGGTGGCTAGGAGTCAGAATCAACTTAACAGTGGGTTTTCATTGTTCGTGCAAGTTCCACCACAGTATTTTGTGTGTGCTAAACTGTTCTTGAATTTTATGGATTTCTAGATGTTTGGCTTTCTCAGTGGACTATGCTCATACCCTTACCTATGCCTATTATGTGTGGCTCATTGTTCTTGTTAGGTGCCTTCAAGTCATGGTGACCCCTGTGAGCAAAGAATCTTGCCCTATCTGCATCATTATTGTGATTACTCTCATGCTCAAACTCATTCCTGTATTCACTGTATTCATTTATCTTCTTGATGGTCTTCATTTCTTTCAGTCACTAACCTTCCACATTTCCCAGAATGATACCTTTTTCTAAAGATTGACCCTCTTAATAACAGCATGTCCCAAGTATGTGAGACAAAACCTCATCAGCTTTGTGTTTAAGGAGCATTCTGGTTGCACTTCCTTCAAGAGAGAGATATCTGTACTTTTGGAAGTCCATGGAAATTCAATGCTCTCTGCTTACACTCTAGTTCTGACGCACTGATTACTCTGCCATGTGTACTCATGGTTCCAATTTCAGATACATAGGAAGCAAATGAAAACACCATGACTTGGATCAGGAATACTTTAATCTTACAGCCAATATCCTGCCCTTTCGCACTGTGGAGAAGTCTTCAACAGTAGTTTTTCTTAATGCAACACATGCTGTGATTTCCAGACTTCTGGTACCAAGGGTGTTGATTGTGGATCTCAATAAGATTAAATCATTGTCAACTCCATTTCCCCCCCCTTGATCTATCATGGTGCTGCCTGTTATTTTCTTGATATTGAGATATAGTCCATATTGAGTGCTGTTGTCTTTGATGTTCTTCATTCAGTAAGTCCTTTAAGTCAACTTCACTTTCTACAATCAAGCAACACTTAGGAGGTGAGGTTTGGGACTTTTGTGTTCATCGGATTTAGATGAGATTTTGGAGTTAATAATGTAATAGATTATGACTTTTGATGGTGTTAATATGGATTTTTAACTTGGGATACATGTGACTCTTCAGCTGTTAGAGAGCAGACTGACAGACAGAATGATGTCTGACTTTCCAAATATGTCCACATCTTAATTCTCAGAACTCATGAATATTATCAGTTGTAAGGCAAAGAAGAATTAAAGGAACAAATGGAATTAGAGTTGATAACGAGGTGAATTTAAGATGTATAGAGTATTCCGAAATATTCATGTGAGTAAAAGGATAAAATAAAAAGTAAAAAACAAAACCTATTGTATGGAGTCAATTTTGAAATCACGGTAACCAAAAAACTCCCTGCCATGTAGTGGAGTCAGCTAGTCTCCATTGGTTTCTGAGGCTGTACATTTTATGGGAAAAGAATGTCTTTCTTTTGCCCATAGAACTGTTTCTGGATTTGAACTGCCAACATTTACATTATCAGCCTGACATGGTACACACTAGGACAGCAAGGTGCATCAGAGCCTTCAAATTTGGAAGAATGACAGTTGTTATTAGAGTGGCATGATGTGTGAAAACCAGTCATTGAAGATGACCACCCCTTTGAGAATGAAAGAGGGCCAAGAGCCAAAGAATGTAGGAGGCAGACAGTCTCTCTAGAAGTGGTAAAATGCAAGAAAATATTCTTCCCGTTGTTAGATATCATTGAGTCAATTGTGAATCATAGTGACCTTGTGAACAGATCTGATCTTTGCCCTATTCTATGCCATCATCATGATCTCTAATATGTTCAAATAAATTGTTATAGTCACTGTGTGTCAATCTACCTTATTGAGGGTCTTCCTCTCTTTCTCTGACCATCCACCTTTCATAGCATGATGTCTTTTTCCAAGGATTGGTCCCTCCTGATAACATAATACTCGAGAGCCACTAAATAAGGCATGCAGCCATTATGACTCCTTGATTTTAGTGCAGCCAGAACTGTCCTGGATTTCTGATCTCCAAGAAAGTGAGATAATAAATTTGTGTGTGTTTTTTTGTTCTTTTTAGGGGCTTTTAAGTCAAGCATGACTCACAGAAACCTTATGAACAACAGAACCCTCTCCTGTGCCAGCCTAATCATCTCTGACATGCTTAAGTCCATTGCTACTGTCACTGTGTCAATCCATCTGGCTAAGAGTCTTCTTCTCTTACGAGGACCTCTATCTTTCCAAGTATGATATCCCGTTCCAAGGAATAGCCTCTCCTAGCAACATGTCCAAAGTATCAGGGATGAAGCTTTACCATTTTTGCCCCTAAGCAACAGTCTGGCTGCATTTTTCCCAAGACATATCTGTTTGTTCTTTTGGAAGTCTATGAGATATTCAGTACTATTCTCTAACACTATACCTTGAAGGTATAAATTCTTCTGTCATCCTTATTCATTGTCTGGCTCTCAGATGCATAGCGAGTGATTGAAAAGACTATGTCCTGAATCAAGCCCACTGTAGTCCTCAAACTGACATCATTATTCTTCAGTATTTTGGAGAAGTCCCTGACAGAAGATTTTCCCAATACAACATGTTTCCTGATCTTCTGATTGCTTTTTTCAAGGGTTTTGATTGTTGATTTAAGCAAGATGTAGTAATTGACAACTCCAATTCTTTATCCATCAGGTTGCCTAGTGTTGAGGACCTTAATTTTTTTGATGTTGAGATACAATACATTTTGCAAGGCAGTGGTCCTTGATCTTCTCCAGCAAGCATCTCACACCCTATTAGTTGAAACGTGTCAACTGGTATCCCACCCATTCCTGCCCCGCCTATTTTTTGTTAATGTCTTGAGAGCAACTTGAGCTTATTCATTACCATTGGCCCCTGAAATTTTTCAGTGTTAACCAATTTCTTCTGTTACAGATTTTAGTGCAACCAGATCCATTCTGAATTTCAGAGCTTCAAATCTGTGAGATAATTTGTTTTGTTAGAAGTCACTAAGTTCGTGATTTCTTATGGCAACAGTAGGAAATGAGTACAGTCACTTTTGATGAAAACTGGGGAGAAGGTGGGCTATAAATGTAAATACATATTCCATCAAAACTCTAGGTTAACCCCACAGGTGACAAAGGGGCAATTTTAAAAAGAAATGTGTTAATGATGACAAAAGGTGGAATAACTTACACGGATGTGAAGCTCTTCATTGATAGATTCTTTTTTATTAGTTTTTTTAACATCCAAGTATCTGACCAGAGGACCAATTGTGATTCCCTAGATTGAAAGTTTAAAAAAAAATTAAATGAAGATTTTTGTCGTGATAAAGACTGTCAAAATAGAAAACAAATCTATTAGTAAAATTATTAGGCCCTCCAATCTGTGTGCCTGTGTTTGTACTAGCCTTTTCTGTATAAGTAAACATTCCAGTGTAAATGGTTTTAGTTATAAATAAAGTCTTTTAGTCATGTAATAAAAATAGGTATTATTGTTTGTGTTTTAAAACAGGAATTTAATTTTATTTCTTAAAATAGCCTTTGCTGTTTCAGTTAGGTGGACATCAACACCAAATAAAACAGTCATGTTAGCTAGTATTATCTTAGGATCTTAATTCTAGAAATGCAGAAAGAGCAGCTATTGTTAACCTGTTACTCAGGAATATGTTGATTAATTTGTTTTATTTGTTGAAAGACATCCTATTTTAGAAGCTACAGAAGGACCAGAAACATGTGGCTATTTTGTTCTGATATTGAGTACATGCTATAAATAAAATAAAGGCCCCTTTTTGGTATTGCAGAAATTGACTCTGTATCCCTTTATAATAAGAAATCTACTAACCTGAATAAATGCTGTAAAATATATAACTACTAGGGTAGCAGTGACAAACATTTTCTTCCTAGGGAAAAGAGACAGAGGAAGCAAAAATGCAAGTGAAAAACTTCCAGCTCCTCGGACACCACTGTAGAAAATTATGCACTGGTCCTTGATGGAGAAGGGGAAAGTCCGAAACTGGTTACTGACATAGAAGAGAGCAAACACGCCTAGAAAGGGGAAAGAGGTGTTAGAGCAGAGGGCGACAAAAACAAGGGGTGACACAGCAGCGCTGAACCAAGGCAGTGTGCACAGGCCTTTCAAATGGTGTGCCCTGGTTTCATCACACACCCATACTTGTGGATCCCAGACAGAATACCTTACAACCTTTTTATTTTCCAGTTAATTGTACTTTCCTAGAATTGTATATAGATGTGTGACTATGTTTGCATGTAAAAGAATAAAATCTCCCCTGAGATTTACAGCCACCTACAAATCCACTGGAGGGTCAATTCTGACTCGACAGCAATATGTTTGAGTATGGAGTTTGGTGATTTTTTAAAAAAATGTTAGAAATAGTAGTTGCCAATCTGCATGCATAAGTTTTACTTTGTCTTTCAAACTAGTTAAAGGCAAGATAGTATTTGGGAGATGGAGGAAGAACAACATTCTTATAATCTCTTTGGGGAACCAAAGGAAGAAACTGATTTTGAATATGGAAAGAGCCTCCTCAGCAGCTCTAGTTTCTGCAAAGAGAGGGAATCCTTTATATAAGTTGGTTCATTCCTTCTTCACTTATTTCAAAAAGGAATTAAGTTGGCATGGGTTCAAACATAGTTCCTTATCCTAAGGAGGTAAGTGAGAAGCTTGATTTAAAAATATTTTCCAGCCGTGCTAACTTTCCATCCTCAACTTTCAATAGCCTCATGTGACTTCCAATCATACAGACTCACAGCAAGTCTTCTTATTACCTTTAACAAGAGGCACATTGATAGGGTAAAAGAATAAAATACTTTAAAACAATTACTTTTTATTTTGTTTGTCCTGGCAACTACAAATGCCAGTTATAAGATTTTAAGTAAAGTTTTAATTTTTCTACACTGTCACTTTCTTTTTTAAAAGTGCTAAAGAATAAGGTTATCAGACCAAAGACTAAGGTGTGCCTTATCCAAGTCATGGTATTTTCTATTGTATCATATACATCTGAAAGTTAGACAATAAAGAAGGAAAACCAAAGAGTAATCAGTGCCTTTGAATTGTGGTGTTGGAGAATACTGAAATATGCCATGGACTACCAAAAGACAAATAAAGCTATCTTGGAGTAAATGAAGCCAGGTTGATACTCAGAGACAAGAATTAGGTGGGAGGCATAGCACTTCCTGACCTCAAAACCTACTACACAGCAGTAGTAACCAAAACAGCATGGTACTGGTACAATGACAGGCACATAGAAGAATGGAACAGAATTGAGAACCCAGAAATAGACCCAGCTATCTATGGTCAACTAATATTTGACAAGGAAATCAAAGCTATCAAATAGGGAAATGGTAACCTCTTCAACAAATGGTGCTGGCAAAACGGAACTTCCACCTGAAGAAAGATGAAACAGGATCTACATCTCACACCATGCACAAAAAACAACTTAAGGTGGATCAGAGAACTGTGAGTAAAGCCAAAAATCATAAGAGACAAACTGGGATCAAGCTTAGAAGCACTAATCCAAGGTATAAAGAGACTGCCAAATACAAACAGAAATGCATAATCTAAATAGGATTAAATTGATTCATGGGACCTTCTAAAGATGAAATCCTTGTGTGTATCAAAAACTTTTTCCAACAGGGTGAAAAGAAAACTCACAGACTGTGAACAAACATTTGGTAATACCATCTCAGACAAGAGTCTTATAACAAATGGTTATAGAACACTCCTGGGCCTCCATAAGAAAAAGACTGATAACCCAATTACAAAATGGGCAAAAAACATGGAGAGAATTTTCACAGAGGAAGATATTTGAATGGCAAACAGACACATGAAGACATGCTCTAAATCACTGGCAATGAGAGAGATGGAAATCAAAACCACAATGAGGTACCATCTCACTCCAGTAAGTATGGCAAAGTGTAACAGGGTTACAAGTAATAAAAGCTGGAGAGAATGTGGCGAGAAAGGAACTTTTATACATTGGTGGTAGGATTGTGAAATGGTACAATAATTCTGAAAGGCAATTTGGTGCTTCCTCAAAAAAAGGTGAACATAGAAATTCCATATGACCCAGTTATTCCACTATTTGGAATATACCCTAAGAAAATGAGAACTGAGGTACAAACTGAGCTTTGTACACTAATGGTCATAGCAGCATTATTCACCATTGCAGGAACATGGAAACAGTCCAAATGTCCAACCACAAACAAATGGATTGAGAAATTATGGTACATTTACACAATGGATTACTATGCAGCACGCAGGAGCAATAACTTTGTAAATTATTACCTAACTTGGGAGGGACTGGAGAGCTTTATGCTGAGTGAACTAACTCAGACCCACAGGATAAATTTTGTATAAAACTATTATTGTAGAATGAGTATGAGGATACAAGAGAAGTGGGAGAGGTTGGAAGCAGAGGGATGAGGATGTGGAGGACAGAGGTGGGGGATTAACCATTGGGTTGTACAATTTGATGGGTAGGAGGGTAGGGAAATTGAAAGTATTTGTTCTTGAAAACAACGTATTAGAATTTTGTAAATAAACTAGTGTTGTTGTTGTTGTTATGTGACATCGAGTCACCTGGGACTTATAGTTACCCTATGTACAACAGCCCTAAACCCTGCTCTGTCCCGTGCCAATCTCACTGTCTTTGATACACCTACCGCCATTACCCCAGTCACTGAATCAATTCACCTCATAGAGGGTCTTCCTCTCCTGCGCTGTTCCCCCACCCTCCCAAGCATGATTCCCTTCTCCAAGGACAGGTTCCGCCTTGAAACATGTCAAGAATATGTCAGACAAAGCATCAGAATCTTTGTCTCCAAGGAGCAGCCTAGTTTAACCCTCTCTAGGATGAACCAGTTTGTATTCTTAGCAGTCCATGGTATATTCAATACTCTTCTTCAACACCACAACTCAAAGTATCATTCTCCTTTTATCCACCCTAGTCATTGTCCAACTCTCTGATGCATAGGAAGTGATTGCAAAGACCATGGCCTGTATCAGTTGCATCTTAGTCTCCAGAGTGACATCATTGCTCTTCAGTACTTTGGAGAGGTCCCAAACAGCAGACTTTCCCATTGCAATATGTTTTTTTATTTCCTGGATGCTAGTGCCAAGAGTGTTGGCCATGGGTCCAAGCAAACTAAAGCTGTTAACAATCTCAATCTCTTCACCGTCTATCACAATGTTGCCAATTATCCCAGTGGTGAGTATCTTTGTTTTCTTCATATTGAGCCTCAATCCATATTGAAGGCTGCAGTCCTTGACCTTCTGCAGCAAGTACTTCAAGTCCTACTCAGTTTCAGCAAGCAGAGCTATGTCATCTGCATATCACAGATTGTTGATTTATATTCCATCAATCCTGATATCACACTTCTCCTCATACAGCCCAACCTCCCAGATAATCTGTTCTGCATATAGGTTGAAAAGGTATTGAGATACATACCTGGAGTACACCCTTCCCAATTTTGAACCATGCAGTGTTTCCTTGCTCTGTTCTGACAACTGCCTCCTGGTCTAAGTATAGGTTTAGCCTTCACACGATCAAGGGTTCTGAGATTCCCATTCTTGTTAGAGTCAGCCACAGTTTGTTATGATCCACAAAATAAAATCAAATGCCTTTGCATAGTCAATGAAACATAGACATTTTTCTAGTACTCCCTGCTTTCAGCCAAGATCCATCTAACATTAGCTACAATATTCCTAGTGCTACAACCTCTTCTAAAGCCAGCCTGCACTTCTGGCAGGTCTCTGTTGATGTGCTGTTCCAGTCATTTTTGGATAATCTTTAGCAGAATCTTGCTTGTATGTAAGATCAATGACATTGTTCTATAATTTCCACACTCTGTTGGATCACATTTCTTTGCAAATACAGATCTCTTCCAGTCAGTTTGCCAAGTGGTTGTCCTCCAGATTTCTTAACACAACTTGGTGAGCACATCTAGGGAAGCATCTGTTAGTTGAAATATGTTGATTGGTATACCCTCTGTTCCTGGGGACTTATTTTTTTGCTAATTCCTTCAAAGCAGCTTGAACGTCTTCCTTCATCACCATAGGCTCTTGCTCATCTATTGTTCCATTAAATTCTTCTGTGTCCACCAATTCCTTTTGATACAATGACTCTGTATACTCTTTCCATCTTCTTTTATTATTTCCTGGATTATTTAATATTCTACCCTAAGCATCCTTAATATAACAACTCAAGGTTTAAATTTGTTCTTCAGTTCCTTAAGCTTAAGAAAGGTTGAGCTCTGGAAATTGTTAGGTACACACGAAAGACGTGGAATAGAAATTTTCAAAAGGGAAGAAAGAGACCAGCAGACACGGACTTCAGCAACCCCCACCCCACAGGTAAATGCGACATAGAAGCTTCACAGATCAAGGCAGCGCTGGAAACCATTGGGGCCCAGAAAAACAATCTATACACCAGATCTACAGAACACATCACTCTCACTTGGGAAATATTACCCCTAAACTCAAGATACACTGGCCACAGCATAAGGAACTGTCAGTAGCTGAAGTGTTTAAGATCAGAGAAGCCCATAAAGCTTGAGATATATGCTATCATATCAAGGGCTGGACAATGGGAGATAGGTGTTCAGGGAGCAGGTGGGAGTGGAAGGGGATGCTGGTGGATGGTAGAGCAGGGAAATGGGTGGGTCAAGACACTTGTGTCATGGGCAGGAACAACACTGAAACTAACGTTTAATTTAACAATTGGAAAATATCCTTCATCTGCTTTTTTTCCATAAAATGCTTATCTGTCAGATCCTTCTCTAAATAAACTAGTAGAAAATAATTTTTAAAAAATTAGATTGAAATTTATTCTCACATACTTTGGATATGTTGTCAGGAATGACCAGTCCTTTGTGGGGGGAGAGTGGGGAAACATCATCTGAAGAAAGTAAAAACATCACAGAAAGAGAAGTAGAGCCTCAATGAGATGAATTGACCCAGTGACAGTAACAATGGAGTTGGTGACAAAAGTGGTGTGGGATCAGACAAGTCTCAGAAGTATTGTTCACAGGGTTGCTATGAGTTATAGCCAACCCAATAACACCTAAAAAGAGCATTTATATATTCTAGCTACCTCATCTACTCAAGAGATACAAGGAAAACTTTTACCTTAGAAGACACAAATTAGGTTTAAAAAGATACCTACTAATAACACCCAAAAAAGTCTTTCTTATATGTTGTAATCCCTGGGAAGTATAGTTAAGTGCTCCACTCAGTGAATCCAATCAAAGACTTTTGAAGATAGGTTTCAAAATCTGCTTAGTTACAACTGATATAAATTTATGGGAAGTTCTACTATGCACGCATGGGATCACCACAAGTTGAAATTGACTCACTAGAGATCTGTGCTATGGTCTTTTCAATCACTTGCTACTCATCTGAGAGCTGAACAATGACTAAGGATGAGAAGAAGAATTTATAGTGTTGAGAAGAGTAATGACTATTCCCTGGACTGCCAAAAGAACAAACAAATATGTATTGCAGAAGGTGCAGCCAGAGAGCTGCTTGGAGGCAAAAATGAAGACGCTTTGTTTCACTAACTTTAGTCTTGTTGCTAGAAGTTCATCTTTGGAGAGGGACATCATGCTTGGAAAGGTGGAGGGATGGGAAAAGAGAGAAAGAACCTCAACCAGGTGTACTGACACACTGGCAGCAGCAATGGACTTGAAGAGTCAGAGATTGTGAGGATGGCACAGGATAGGACAGAGCTCAGTTCTGTTGAACTTATTAACACCTAACAACAACAACAACAACAACATAGAGTGTAAGCTTTTATAAGTGTGAGCTATTATGGTTTTAATGAATCAGGCTGGAATTCAGAGAAACATTTTCTTGTTTCAACAGTCACTATAATAAGTGCCAAGTCAGTTCCAGTTCCCTAAGCTATGAAATGAAAGGTTGAATTGATAGATTTACAAGTCAACAATGTCAAGGTATTTATATTAGATTAATAATATTAATCTTTTCCTGTTGTTATTGTTATGTACAATTAAGTAACCTCATAGCTACCCAATGAAGTCTTCCCTAACCTGAGCCAGTCTCACTGACTCTGACACACCTAATCTGACTCCTCCAATCACCATGAGAATCCATCCTGAACTGTCCCTCCACCATTCCAATCATGACATCCTTCTCCAAGGTCTTGTCCCTCCTGGCAACATGGCCAAAGCATGTGAGAAGGAACTTCAAAATCCTTGCCTTCAAGGAGAAACTTGATTTCACTCTCTCCTAGACAGACCTATTTATTCTCTTGGCAGTCCATGGTTTATTCAATTCTCTTCTCCAGCACAACTCAAAGGCATCAATTCTTCTTTGGTCATCCTTAGTCATTGCTCAGATCTCTGATGCATAGCAAGACAATACCTATTCTTATCTGAGTTTGTTATGTGTAACAATATTTCACTTCACATTAGCTCTACTTCTGTATATATTCATAGAATGTTAAATCAAAAAGGGACTCAAGAAATTTGTCTGATCCAAATTAATAATTTTGTGGTTAAAGAAGAAGATTGTGAGTAGTTAAGGGACTTGTTCCAAGGTTAAATCACTGGCGAAGAAGAGTGCCAGGACTTGAATTAAGAATATAAATACTCTACAACCAGGAGAAGATAAAATAGATGAATGGGACCTTCTAAGAATCAAATCCCTATGCATATCCAAAAACTTCTCCAACAGGGTAAAAAGGGAAGCCACAGACTGGGAAAAAGTATTTGGTAATGACATGTTAGATAAGGGAACTATATCTAGAATTTATAAAATACTTGAGCACCACAGCAAGATAAAGGTAAATCATCCAATTGAAAAATGGGCACAGAATATGAACAGACACTTCACCAAAGAAGACATTGAGATGGCCAACAAACACATGAAGAAATGTTCAAAATCCCTAGCTCTAAGAGAGATGCAAATTAAAACAACTATAAGATATCATCACACCCCAGTCAGAATAGCAAAATTTAACAGAACAGCAAGCAGCAAATGCTGGCGAGGTTGTGGAGAAACTGGAACCCTTATTCACTGTTGGTGGGAGTGTAAAATGGTGCAACCACTGTGCAAGGTGATATGACACTTTCTCAAAAAGTTGCATATAGAGATACCATTTGACCCAGCAATTCCACTACTGGGAATATATCCCAAAGAGACCAAAACTGACATCCAAGCAGATATATGAACACCCATGTTTATCACGGTTCTGTTCACAATAGCAAGGAGCTGGAAACAACCCAGGTGCCCATCAACAAATGAATGGATAGAGAAGCTGTGGTATATTCACACAATGGAATACTATGCTGCATTGAAAAACAAGGAAGTCATGCAATAGTATTATGCTGAGTGAAATATCTCAGTCACAAAAGGACAAATATTGCATGGTGCCACTGCTATAAAATGGGACTGATATCAGGGTTGGGGTAAGACTGAGAAAAACTGGATAAATTGTGCATACTGCACTGGAACAGATGAGGGAGTGAGTAATTTAAAAGTGATGTATTATAGGGTATTATGGTTATCACAAGAGTCCACTATCACAAGAGTCCACAATTAAGGTTGCATAGTGGAATGTACTTGGGGAGGTGGGAGGGGTGCGGGGTGATTGTGTACCAGGGAGGGAGTGTTTCTTTTACTTTTAGAAGAGAGGAGTGAAATGGGGGTGGGGGGACTGGGCAGGGAGAGAAGTGTAGCAATGAATGAATGGAAATCCAAAATCCAAAATCTCTGTAAATGTTCATTAAAATTATTAAAAAAGAATATAAATCCATTTTACAGCTTTCTTTTCTTTACTAAGGATCCAAAAGGTATATATATTTGGAGATACTTTCATTAATATTTTAGTATTTCTACATATGGATTGAGGCTCAATGTCAAGAAGACAAAGATTCTCACCACTGGACCAATCGGCAGCATCAGGATGGATGGTGAAGAGATTGAGATTGTACACAGCTTTAGTTTGCTTGACTCCATAGTCAACAGTCTTGGCACCAGCAGCCAGGAAATTAAAAGGCGCATTGACATGGGAAAGTCTGCTGTTAGGGACCTCTCCAAAGTGTTGAAGAGCAGTGGTGTCTCTCTGGAGACTAAGGTGCGTCTGATACAGGCCATAGTCTTCGCAATCACCTGTTATGCATCAGAGAGTTGGACAATGACCAAGGAGGATAGAAGGAGAACTGATGCCTTTGAGCTGTGGTGCTGGAGAAGAGTACTGAGAATACCATGGACTGCTAGGAAAACAAATAGATTTGTCCTGGAGAGGGTTAAACCGGGTGGCTCCTTGGAGGCAAGGATTCTGAGGCTCCGTCTAACTTACTTTGGACATGTAGTGAGGAGAGACTGGTCCTTGGAGAGGGACATCATGCTTGGGAGGGTGGAGGGACGGCTCAGGAGAGGAAGGCTCTCTATGAGGTGGATTGATTCAGTGACTGGGATAATTGGGATGGGAGTGTCAGAGACAGTGCGATTGGCACAGGACAGAGCGGAGTTTAGGGCTGTTGTACATAGGGTCGCTATGAGTCGCAGGCAACTCGACGGCACATAACAACAACAACAACAACAACAACACATTCTTGTTATCTTTTCTTAGGTTCTGATTAAGAAATTCAAGATAAGTTCTCAGCCAATTCCCCTAATTTTTCTGAGTAGTTTCGATGACTCCAGTAGCACTGTGCCAGAAGTTTCAAATATTGGTTAAAGAAATTTTAAAATACAGTTCTTTATAGTCAAAAGACACTGGTTGCCTATGGTAAGATGCTGTGATGCAATTACGAAGGCATGCAGTTCAAGTACACCAGGTGCTCTTGGGAGAAACATGGGCCTTCTCTGCTCATGTGATTTACTACCTCTGAAAACCTACTGAAGGTTAGCTGTGAGTATGTTTTGACTCGACAATGCACACACACACACACACACACACACAGACACAAAACACTAAAAACAAACACAGCAACATATTGTAGTTCAATACTCAATGGTCTTCTTTAGCCTTCACATCATAAATGTACAAAATAAATCAATAATCACTACTCAAGACATCTCAGGTTTGTTTGGTTTTTTTTTTTAAATAGCCTTACCTTATAGAGGTGGGTGGCTACAATTATGTCATAGAGTTGCTTTAAAGTTCACACATGAATAGTAAACATTTTTAAAGTGAAGATTTACTTCCTTGCCTTTTATTTTCTATACATTGTGTACACATATACTCATTGAACCCTGAAATAAAACTGCTCGTATTATTTAGGAGAATATTTCCTCTCAGTATTTTGTCTGACATAAAGTACAATTTGTGATATCTCACTTTTTCTTTTAACAAAAGTGTAAATACACGTAGTTTATCATGTATATGTGACTTCAAGTGTTAGAGGGTATAAACTGCCAAAAAAGTGAAGAGGAATAAGATATATTTACTTCTAATCATAACACACTATATTTAAATGTGTTGATGAGGAAGTTTTCTATTTAAAAAATGCTCACTTGCTCTAGCCAAATCAGGGCAGAATTTTATCAAGGACTAATTACTTGGAGCTGATTGACTGAGCATACAAAAAGCATTGTTGGTCACTACTCGGTGAGTATACTCCCCTAACCAGTAAAACCAGTTAGTATCAATTTGCTCCTTTTCACTTTCTCATTGACATTGACATCGACAGAATGGACAAGAAAAATAAAAAGACCAGGAGATTCTAAGTGGCCATGAGGTTTCTTACTGATGGCTCTCCAGATCTGGCAGAAAGCGAGGGTGAAGCAGACGAAGGCCCAGTTCCACTCGTGGTTCTTTCCGACCGTGGACACACCCATGAAGATGAAGATCAGGGTCTCGCTGACACTGCTCAGCATCTTCATGAAATACTTGATGGTCGTGTAGGATGTCTGGGACACGTTTTCTTCCACATACTTTTTCATTGTCACTGCACAAGCCGTAATTCTGCAAAAGAAACATCACCTCAAAGAAAAGCAAGAATTCTCCACTCCATTAAAATTTTTCCCTACTGGCAAGGACAGTGATACACAGATTCTGTTTTGTTCTAAAAATATAGCTCCTCCATTCTCCAAAGCTTCTTTTTCTTCTTCTTCTTCTCCAAGATGTTTCCATTGAAAAAAGAGCCCATGGCATGATTTTTCACTATAAAGTGACTTACAGTTTATGTGGACAAGTCAGACACATAACCGTTTTTATCTTTCCATCCCTCACCATGAATTCTGCTAGTTCTGTCCTTTCTACTTCCCTTTGCTTTAAACAGAGTAAATCCATCTCAACTTGCCTAGAAAGTGGAGTTCGGTGAGAGCCCTTGTTTTCTCAAACTCAAAAATATTTCTTAAAATATTTTTATGATAATTAAAAAAATAAATTTTAACTGTTTCTGTTCTACAGCCACTAAGCAATTGTAGTAGAAAAACAACTGGGTTTGTCTTAGTAATTTTGATCATTTTTAAACTGAGAAGATGATGGGTGTCTAGAAGTTACACGATTAAATGCAAGTAAAATAGACACATATAAAGTACAATGAAATTGTCCTTCCTGAGTAGCTAGGTATAGGGATAGCATCATAGAGAAAAGAACATGGTCAAATGTATAATAAGCCAAATTGAGAAAGGCCTCAAATTCTATCACCTAATACAAAGGTGATAAAATGAAAAATATTTTCATTAGGAAGAAAATTAAAAAAAAACATCTAGTCTTATTCCATTGTCCTTGGTTTTATTCCACACTGAAGACTGCTATGATGTGGTTTGAGGGAAGGAGCTGAAGGCTGAGCCAATGAATGATGGTTCCTCATGACATGCTACTTCTTAACCGTACAGTAATAAATTTTTCAAGCAAGAAAAAAGCTACTAACATGAAACTTTAACCATGAGTTTCTCCCAGCTTTTTCTAGCATCAGCTTTTCTGAGTATTCTGAATTGACCTTCTAATTATTGTGCTTTCTTTAGGCAAATAATGAAAAGATAGCAAATGCAAATGTTGGAGAGAACATTTGTTTGGCAAAATACCTGAGTCAGACTTTACAAAAGTTTAAAAATCCTGGATCCTGCGACACCTTTGAGGATTTACCTCAGAAGTCATGCCTACAGGGTCTTTGTCCCCAGCCCACATAATAGCTTCTGAATTTCCTTTTATAACTATGAGAGTTGATCTTTGGTTTGTACTCACGCCAGGATGCCAGAGAGATACAGTGTTTCAGCGGCTAAGTAGGACAAATAGCTGAACATGAAGACGATGAGTGGTTCAATTGCAGATATATTCTGAGTGAAGCGTGTGATAAAAGCAGAAATGAATCCAAAAATGATGCCAAAAAAAGCTCCCCCGAGCCCCACAATAATGAATCGGGCACATCCAGCCAAAATATCCACAGGTTCTATGTCTTCAAATTTGTGCATCTTTGTGAAAGCAATTAATATATTATATAAGACCTGGGAGATGGCAGTAGAAAGAAATAAAGAGAAGGGGGAAAAAGTCATGGATTAGAGGTCTTTACACAATAAATTACACGTTAGATGTTAATATTTATTATTCGTTAATGTCACTCACTCTTTGCTGACTCTCCATTGGGTTTGCTAGGCTGTAAGTCACATGGAAGGAGACTGTCTTTCTTTTGGGAAGCCATTGTGAATTCAATATTCTGAAGATGTGTGGTCTTTGGGTTGGCTGTGAAAGCCTCTACTGACTAGGCCACCAAAACTCCTTACTTTATGAATTAATTACCTAAATTAATGTTGTTGCTGTTATTATGTGCTATCAATCAGCTATAAACTCACAACAACTTTATGAACAATGGCTCTGAACCCTAACCTATCCCACCATCCTCACCATCTCTGACACACTTGACATCCTTTGTTACTGTCTCCATGTCACTCCATCTCATTGAGGGTATTCTTCTCTGATGCTGACCCTCCCCCTTTGAAAGCATGATGTCCCTCTCTCCAAGGTCTGGCCCCTTTTAACAACATGCTCGAAGTATGTGAGATGGAGTTTCCTCTAAGGAACACCCTGGTTGCACTTTCCCTAGAACAGACCTGTTTGTTCTCCTGGCAGTCCACAGGGTATTCAGTATTCTCCAACATCATAACTCAACGGCACAGAATCTTCTTTTATCCTTAGCCATTGCATGTTTTACATAAACTTACATTATACATCGTACATTTTAAGTAAACTTGTTTCCTACTCTGAGAGAGAAGTTTCTAATGTATTTTACAGCTGGAGAAGCTGGAAAAGGTGAAAAGGACCAGAAATCCTGCTGCAAATAGACTCAGATAATATCTCTTTCTCTATCAAGCATAGGCACACACAGACACAGACACCGACACACAGACACACAGACATGCAAAATTCAACTATACTGTATTTCTAAAATTAGAAAATTAGGTCTTTTTTCTTAAAAAAGAGACCCGATGAAATATCAAACCACATTTGCTTAAAATTACACATTTCAAAGTGTAGAATTTTTAGAAAATAGGAAAATGCAAAGCAAGAACCCACAAATATCCCATAATCCCTTCCAGAGATAACCACTGTAAATTTGTGTTTGTCTTTCCTATTCTTCTCTATCATCTATGTACCATCTATATTATGGTGGCAGTTGGAATCTCTCAAATCCCCAACCACAGGGAATGCAATGGACCAGCTGTGCTGTGACTCCCTAGAAATCAGCTGAGGACTGAGCATGATGGGCACTAAGGACATCATTCTGGAAAGGCTCAGGACTCTTTGAATGGGTGTGCTTAGTTTACTGCCACAGCAGTGGATTTTATAAATTCCCATGTAACTAAATAGAAGTGCATCCAATATACTTTTTGCTTATGCTCTTTCACTGAGGTCAACCTGCACCTTGGTCTGAGAGCTCTAATGCCTTCCTGGGATCCTTCCCTGTTTTCTGTTTCAGAAACTTCCCCTAGTGAGCCTATTTTTCACATAATGATCTGTTGGTCTCTTATACTTGGGAGAGCAGGACATGTCTGTCTATCCATGTCATATTTTTGTATTTTTAAATCATATGATAAGAAAAATGCTATCATACTTGTCTATTCTATGTAAATAAAATGAGGCTGCAACAAGAAAACTTTGGTTGAGTGTTTGAGGGGAAATTGATTTATGGTTTCAAAATAAATCCAAAAGAAACTTAGTGGTTTGTCAAAATTCAGGGAGATTATTTAATTTATTTTCCCTTTTGTCTCCTCCTGAACAAATTGCATGTGGATTTAGACCCAGCTCTTGCACCCGCGGAGCTCAGTTCACTTTCAAAGAAGTGAAATACAAGGTGAAGAGCCAGACGAGGCAGGTAGTTCTTTATTTATTTTGAGTTTAAGTGGAATCTGAGAATTCATTTGACTTTCAAAACCAAAGGAAATTTGAGGAATATCATTGAGATGCAAAGGTTTGCACAAACAAAATCTCTTTTACACAGCTTACAAGGTTGCAAAGAACTACCCAGTTCCAATGGCTTACGAAAGTCTCACAGGCCAGTATTGTCCCTGAATACCAGCACACCCTGCCTGGAAGATGCCAAGGCATTTTCAGAAGCAAAAGAGCACATATAATTAAGAAGACTACAATTCATACTGCTACATGAAAATCTATTCTTATATTTCAAATTTCCAGGCTCTGGATCCCATCATAGTTGCAAAAGATTTATTTTAATTCATTCCAAAACACAATAATGTGTATGTGCTATTCGAGTGTTGTAGGGTAAATATTAACCACTGCCAAATCTTAAGCATGTCTGTGGGAAGATTGGAATCAAGGGTAGAATTGATCCTTGTTATTTGGTGTGCACATGAGTCGGGGAATTGTCCTGTTATCTCTAATAGGCTCTTCATGCAGAAGAAATATATTGTGGTGCAGTAATATGAACAGCTATGGAAGCAGGTACAAATAATAGAAGAAGGAATGAAAGTTATAATTAAAGCAAATACCCCAGAGACAGGGAACCAGAAGAAATACATTAAACTGGTGTTACATGAACAGCTACAGAAGAAGGTTGAAATGATGGAAGGAAGAAAGCAATCCATAAATAAATATCCCAGAGACAGGAGATCAGAATAAATATGTCAATGTAGAGTAACATGATCAACTAATCAAGAAATTGCAAGAGGTGAAAGAAAGAATTTTTTTTTCTTTTCTTTTTTTTTCCTATAATTATATTTTATTAATTTTCATAAACATTTACAGAGATTTTGGGCTTCCACTCATTCATTGTTGCACTATTCTCTCTACCCTCCTCCCAGTTTGTTCTTGTCCAAATGCCACAGTGCTTGTCAAAGCCAGTTCTGATTAATCTTCTTTGTCAGTGTATCCTTTGCCATTCCCTATCACTCCTCCCTGAGAGAGACTTCACCCTGTCATAAGGAAAAGGACGGCGTATTCTCTTAGCTACTTCCTGCTGAAAAGGGACACTGTGGGTTTCAGGGTGGAGATCTTCTCTCACTACTCTAAAGGGCCCCTTTGGCAGTAGGAAACACATAGACTATTATGGAGATTGATTTTGGAATTCAGATGCACTCTTATTGATTGTGCTTGGCTGTACATGTACATATCCTTCAAGATGTATCATGGGGGTGTTGCAACCTAGAAGACACAAATTTGACTAACAAGTTATAAGTACATGAGTCCAAAAATTATGGAAAAGTAAAAGAAAAGATTCTTTCATTGTTTTACAAACCCTCCCCCAGGTCCCCTCCACCATGTAGCCCTCGCTCTAGTCTCCTGTGATGACAGAAATACCCAGTTAGAAAGAATTTATACTCTAGATTAAAATGTTGAATACATTTTTAAAAAACATCAGCATAGGACAGCGTACATGCAACAGTGTACTGGAATTAACAGAAATGCATGCAAATGCAATTTAGAATATTAAGACTGAAATGGCATAAGTTTTTTATCTGCTGTAGGGACTAAAAAATCAGAACAGAAGAGATGGAGCAGAGAGCCAGTGAGCTGGAGGACAAGAATCTCAATGGGAACATATTAGAAGAGAACATAGAGAGGAGATAAAGGAAAAGAAAGAAAACATTAGAACCATATGGGATGACATAAAAAAAAAAAAGAACATACATATGATTGGAATTCCAGAACGCAAAGCACTGAGGGAATTGTGGAAGAGAGACTAGAAGAAAACTTACCAGGCATTATAAAGGATGAGGAAATCCACATTCAAGAAACTCAGTGAACTCCAAACAGACAAAAACCCAAAAAAGAAACATCCAGAAGTAACATAGTAAATTCTTCATAATCAAAGATAAGGATAGAATACTAAAAGCAGTGCAAGAAAGATAGAGTCACCTACAAAGGAGAACCACTTAGACTAAGTTTTGATTTGTTAGCAGAAATCATGTGAGCAACAACACATTGGGATGGCATATAAAGAAATAAAAAAAAAAAAACCAAAACAATTGCTAGCCACAGAACCTGTACCCAGCAAAGCTGTCTATTAAATATGAAGGAGAAATTAGCTCATTTGCAGAAAAACAGGAACTAGAGGAGTTTGTGGTTTGGTGGGTTTTTTTTTTTAATTTTTTATTTTTATTTTTATTTTTTTAAGTTCAATGAACATCTACAGAGATTTTGGATTTCCATTCACTCATTGTTGCACTTTTCTCACACACCCCCCCCGCCCCCGTTCGTGCCTGTCCTTGTAAAGCAAAAGAAAAACTCCTTTATTGGTACACAATCCCCGCCGCACACCCCCAACCCCACCCCCACCCCAAATATAATCCACTTTGCAACCCTCATTCTGTACTCTTATGACAAACATAATGCCCTAAAATATACTTTTACACTATTCTCTCCCTCATAGACTTCAATGCAGTAAACATAATTTACCCAGTTTTTCTCAGTCTTACCCCCACCCCGAAGTCAGCCTCATCCTACAACAGTGGCACCATATAACATTTGTCCCTTTGTGACTGAGATATTTCACTCAGCATCATGTCCTCCAGGGTCACCCATTTTGAATAATATTGCATGAGTTCCTTGTTTTTCAATGCAGCACAGTATTCCATTGTGTGAAAATACCCCAGCTTCTCCACCCATTCATTTGTTGATGGACACTTAGGTTGTTTCCAACTCCTTGCTATTGTGAACAAAGCCTCGATAAACATGGGTATGCGTATATCTACTTGGATGTCGTTTATGGTATCTTTAGGGTATATTCCCAGTAATGGAATTGCTGGGTCAAATGGTATCTCTATTTGCAACTTTTTGAGAAAGCGCCACACCGCTTTCCACAGTGGTTGCACCATTTTACACTCCCACCAATGAATAAGGGTTCCAGTCTCTCCGCAACCTTGCCAGCATTTGTTGCTTGCTGTTCTGTTAAATTTTGCTAGTCTTACTGGGGTGTAATGATATCTCATAGTTGTATTGATTTGCATCTCTCTCAGAGCTAGGGATTTTGAACATTTCTTCATGTGTTTGT